TAATATAAAAATTAATGTAAAATCATTTTCTGATGGTTACACAGGTTATACTTTTGGAGGCAAACTTAAYATTTTTAAAGTTGTTAATATATGTGTTCATAAAAGTAGTAAGAAAAAAGTATTTGTAGCTCAATCATTCAACACAATTCATCCGTTTTATGAAAAACCAATTAATATTATGAAAATAGGTATGTCTAATCACCTTTATAMAATTGATATAGAAACATGTAMTTTTTCAAAATATGTTATTCTAAACAATAGTCTTGGTAAAGTTGCTTTTCCTATTTTACATTCATCAAATAATTAGTACTTTAATTAAGACATTGTAGTTATTAATTGTCTGTATTATATAATTTAGTCTTTTTGTAAATATGTTCTTAATTTWAAATATTGTAATTAAATTATTTTCAATACCAATAATTATAATATTATGATGAAATACTGTATTACTCTATAAGTGATTGAACTTGAATAGGTGTTATAAATTATGTTTTGATATTTTAAGCATTTAATTTTTTAAAAGGATATTAGTATTTTTAATTTGTTCCTGCTATTTATATTTTAAAATTCTAAATTTTCTTGAAAGTTGATATAATTAATTTTCCATACCTGCTACTATTTTTTTAAATTTAAATAACTTAAGTAGTTTTTAGTTTTCCCAAACATTGAAAAAATGKCAACATTTTCTGTTGTCCATTTTTTTGGAGATAATAATGTAGCAGCTGTTCTAAGATTTTAGTATTCAGATAAAAATAGTACTTGCGCGTGGCCAAAAAAACCTCRCAATACCAAAAGATTGATTGAGCAGTGTAGCATACCAAATACAATTGAATATGAGTATTTAGAAGCAAGAGTAATGAGCTCAGGAATAGGTAATAATTGTGTAATTACAAATATAATGTACATAAGTTATAATATCTTATGTGTGAATGTATGATTTTTAATTTTGTTTAGAATCTTTAGCAATTGCAAAACAAAAGGCTAAAAAGGCAATGTTCATTTCCGATCTTGATGAAGATGAAATTAAACCTAAGACAAAAAAACTTAGATCGTCAATTGAATGACCTGTTTTTTTCAGGTAAATATAATAGTAAATAATAAACTAATATTATTTATTAAGATAATAATATATAATCCATTTTTACAAGGTTACCTATATACTATCTATTGAAATAGCTATACAGGGTGATTCTTTTATCAAACAACMCTTATATGGTGTTTGTGTGTAAATACCACCTAACATACACCTATAACACACAAACACCATCCAAAACCACCCAACTTTGGGAGACTATATCTTGTAAACGGATTAACGAAAAATTAAAATTTAAACGTGAAAATTCATTGAAAAAATAGCCTTTTTAGTTTATGAAATTTTAAGTATAGGTTTTCATTTTAAAATCAAAAGTTGATAATGGTTAACCTGATAAATATAAGGGTAAAATTATTTAAAAAAATATAGTTCTAAAATTAAAAAAAAAAAAATTTGATTATATCAATAGTTTTTGAAATAATGAGTGTTGTTTGATAAAAGAATCACCCTGTATAGTGTTCTAATGTATATCAATATAATATACCTAATATGATTTATACTATCTGCATTTTAATTACTAAAATAAATTATAGTACTATATATATGATTAATGATTTATAGAAAATTATATTGCCCCTGATAATCTGCCCGAAAAGTCTCTACATTTCCCTGGAAATAATAAAAAGAAATGCGAGACTGAAGTCCATAAACATTTTGCAGCTTCTAAGCAGCCTTCAGTAGATAAGTCACCTGTTTCAATTAGTGGTTGGTCACCATCCCCTCTAAAAGCTGCTGCTAAAGGTAACTTAWTATAAAATGATAAATAGATACTTAACTTTGACTTTGATTAATATAGACCACATAAGAAGTGCATCTATTGATAAAATATCATTAAAAACAATTGATTCAAGTACTAAAAAAGTTATCTCTAGTACAGGTATGTTCCAAAATATCAATATTAAACAATAAACAATTTATAGCTACCAAAGTGTGCAAATAGTTTAAATATTTCAATTGATTTTCTTTTTAGTTTCAAGAAAACTTGAATTTTGTGATGATAAAAACAAATCATGTAAATATATTTACTTATATTAGTGTGATATATTTTTATAAGTTATTATAAGCTTTAGATGTCTGCTGTATACATTTTTCTTTTAATTTACAGACAACAACAAAATAAATTTTGACATGCTGTCAGATGAAGAATCTTTTGAAAYATCAATTATTGAAAATAAAGTTTCTCCTTGTAGGTGTATGCAAATTATTTGAAATCAATCATTGGATATATAATAATATTATTATTTATTTATTTGTTCTTTCTAGTTATAAGCAAGGTTACACATAATTATGAACAAATTGAACAAACATCTACAAAGTCCAATACCAATGACAGRAAAAAAAGTAAAAACAAGAATATTATAATAAGTTATATTCACGACCTTATAAGATCTACTAAGCCCATGGTTATATATATTAGCTAATTTTTTTACATACAAAAATATTGATATACCTATTACGCTATAAACTAACCATTATCTACTGCTGCATTACTACAGTTTCGAGAACCACTGTCAATTGTTTGTAATAGTGTACAATCTATAATAATACAATTGAAAAATCACTAAATATCACTATAGAAAATCAGATAWTTTTGTATGTAAAAAAGTTAACTAATATATATAAACGGCTGCATCCGAGTTGCGGGCGGAAAAAAAGAACTATGTTTGACAACAACCGAATTGCGTGCGCGGTTTTTTCGAGACACAGCTGAATTGCGTGCGTGGTTTCTTCATGACAGAGCTGAATTGCGTGCGCATATTTTATTTAAAGACAACCGGTATCGTAATATCTGTATCTGATATAATAGCTATATATGGATATTATCATATGGTAATATGTACTATGCAGGGAATGGGATTTTTCGGCAATTATATATAAGCTGATAATTTGATAAATAATATTAAACGATCTATATTCTATATCTATATGCATCAATTTCAAAATAAAATGTTAACTCGTTTGGAATTTATTGAAAAGTTGGCATACAAAAATTTGCCAGTTGGGTTTTAGTTTGAAWACAAAACTCAAAATATATAATATATAAACAAACCTATTTTTTTTATTTTTTATTATTTTTATAATATTTTGACAGTAATTTTAAATTACATTTTTTGCTACTCATATA